GCTTTGAGGAACAAAAGTTCCGTCCCAACAGGGCAGCTGCTCCTCAGTTTGGGCAAGTTTGACACATGGGCAGGGAGCCCCATGCTCTTCCATCTCCTGGCTCCTAAAAAGAAGCCAGACATCCAGATACTTATGTGAAATCTCCCGAACTTTAATTGTTGGCAACAGATTCAAATAATATGAGAGTCTGCAGGCTGGGATGAAATCTCTCTCTGGGTTGAATGCCACCCTTGGGCTGCTGGTTTGTGAACTCTGTTTGAGACTAGAGGCTAGGGCCAAAGATAACATCAAGATGTCAGTTTTAATAGTTGATGCTCAGAAACCCCCCAGGAAAGAATGCTAAAGAAAAACATAGCTATGAGCTAAAATCAAAATAAGGGTCTTGTAGTACATTCGACTTCCCACGCTAAATTCTCAGATCTTCCGGGGCAGAGTTGGGACTGAGGATTAAACTCCTTGGGAACTTGGCCACCCTGCCTGTCCAAGTGGCAGGAAGAGCTCTGCCTCTAAAACTCATTAACCAGGAAACACAGAGTGACACAGAGCGGGGAGGATGGAGACAGAGAGACAAAGAGGACAGGGAAGGATGGAAGGAAAACGGGAGGATGCAGAACAGGTTTTCAGCCTTTTCTCAAGGCCAACTCCTTCTGCAATCTCTGAAATGACTGTTTCCAGCTGGAGCAACCCGTTCTCTGGTTGATGTGGCCCAATTTGAGCAAACTCCGTGAGATAGTGAAGGACAAGGGAGCCTGGTGTGCTGCAATCCATGGGATTTCAAACAGTTGGATGCGACTTAGCTACTGAAAAATAATTGATACATTCACTTGGTTTGACTCTTACCTAGTAAATTTGCTCCTGTGAGAAGGTGTCAGAAAGCAGGGGAGAGGGAAATCATTGTGGAGAGGGGCCAGGAAGCTTCTCCATTTTCACTTCTAATAACTCATTTGGTTTGATGGCCAAACCTGTGTTCAACGTGCTGGCGGTTTGTCTCAGGGCAGGAAATGAGCATCTTACTCCCATCTTCATGAAGTTGCTCACCCAACACCCACACCTGGCCCTTTATGAGTCTCCCAGGGACCCTCAGTGGACACTAGGAAGTCAACACAGATCATTAATAAAAGTCTCTCCAACACCATGCTTTTCCATTTCCCAACACAAGTTGTCTAAACATCTTATCGGAGACTAAGCTAAATAACAGAATCATTCTAGTTTGAAAACTGTGAACTCCAATTATTAGATACACCTAGAAAAAAAATTAAAGGTCAAAAGTTAAATTCCCCTTTCTTATTAAATACAAAGAAATTAATGTCCAATATTTGTTGAGTCCAATTTGCTATAATACATAACAAGAACCCTCTCACTGGGAGGAGAGAGTATCTGTTCTGGAAACTACTGCTTGGATCAAGATCATGGTTCCCAGGGGGGATGAATGCCTGTTGTCTTCACTCTCATCTCAGGCTGGGAATCATACTTCCTGGAATCCCCTTCCCCCTGTGGTTCTAGGGGGCAAGTGTGTCAATGAAAGGAGCTTACGTGAGGCTTGAAGGCAGAAGTGTAGTTAGTCATTACTCTGGACTGGGGTGAGTGGCCATGTGATTTAAGTCCTCTCCATGAGCTAAGTCACCGAAGTACCACCTTGGACTTATTATACTGCCTTCCTGGTCACCCTTGCAAGCTCCTGGTTCTCCATCTGTCCCAGGCTTAGGCTGGTGTCATTGGTAATTATGTCTGGGATCCTCCAGCTGCAGCCTTCCAGGCATTTCTCTGCCAGCTCTTCCAGGGTCAGTATAATTCCTTATCTCCATCTTCAATCCCTTTTTCCTGTAACACTTGTAGTGGCTCTGACTGATCCCAGCTGAAACACTGGGAAAACATAAACATCATTTTCCTAAAGAGGCACGTATTAGATCTAAGCCAAGAGAGCAACTAGGTCAAGATACTCACATTCCATCACTTTCTGGCAACCGATTCCAACTAGAAAGATGAGTTATTTAAAGAGCCTGTTTTTCACTTACAAGGGAGCTAACCCCTTCTTCTCTTTCTATGATACCCCAAGAACTCATTTCCCTGCTAGAACACGGTGTCAGTTCCTTATCTCTGAAATGGGGATTTCATCCTCTCCAGATAGGATCTGTGGTGCTAGGAAGTTCAGTGAAGACAGTTTCCATTAGTTCTCAAAGAGAGAGTATCTTTTGTTTTTCTTTTGAACTTTTTATTTTTATATTGGGGTGTAGCTTATCAGCAATAGTTAATTGTGATAGTTTCAAGTGAAGAGTGAAGGGACTCAGCCCAGAGAGAATCTCTTTTTCTTAGATCATGAACCTGGATATTCTGGGACCCTATTTTCCACCACATTTTATAAGACCAAGAAGTCATGGCTTGACATGGATAAAGCAGGACGCAGAAGTCAGAGAGGGCAAAACAGATCCCTAATGACAGCTGTTGAACCAAAGAATTCAGCCCTGTCCCAAACCAATTTCCATACATTTGAAGATAATTGCATTTAGCCAATACACCTTCTAAAATTTAACACAATTCAGCTTGTGTGAGTGGGATTACTTATAACTATCACTTACAACCAGGGATTCTATTAACATTCCCACTCACTTGTATAACTACAGGATGTCGAGGGAGTTTGCGTATTTTCTCCCTGGATGCATTTCTTCTCCTATGGACGCCTCCACTTCAGCCATCTGAAGCTCCTTCTTCCTTATACTGTTCATTCTTTGAATCTGCTGCCTTGCTTGAGGGTAGCAAGTTAAATTGAGAAGATGAACACTACCTCCCAGCTCATTTATCCCCATGAACTTTTCTCTAAGAGACACACTGTTGTGATACTTTATCTTACAGAATCCTTAGCGAGAGTAGATTTTCAACCAAGACCTTGGCATTCAACTCACTGTTTAAGGCCTCTCTGGGAAAGTCTCTACTCATCATAACCCTGTATTTCTGTATTCACTGGAAAAGAGCTAAGAGGGTCAATTAAAATGAATTTCACAGGTCCTTGAACTGCCTTCTTCCCACGTTCTTCCATTTTTAATTTTTTGGAGGTTGGTGCCATTTTGAGGGTTCCAATCTCCAAGGCCAACCATTACTGTGCTATTTCTTTTCTTTTCATGAGCTTCGGATCCATGAGCACGATGTAGGAATGAGCCATTAAGTTAGGGGTGGGCAAATGACAAAGCCAGATCCAGCCCATTTTGCTAGTTACTGGAACCGAGGCACATCTATGCATTTATGTATTGTCTATGGCTGTTTTTGTAGTTGCTACAGAAACCCTATGGCCGCAAAGCCAAAGTATTGTATTATCTGACTCTTGACACGAAAAGTTTACTGATCTCTGCTCTAGATTAGTGTTTCTCAACTGTTTTCTCAACTTAGTGCCCATAAAAATGATACTTTAAGAGATGAAGGAGCTCACATCTTGATAAGATTTTGGGGGCACATTGTTCAGGAAGGTCTCCCTAGACCACTTGGGGCAGGACATGACCTGGTATATGCTTGGGAATACCACTAGTCTTTCCAACACCTCTGGGTACCGACACACAATCTACACCTTGACTTTGTAGGTCCTGTGTTTTGACTCCCACAGAGAGTTTGATTTTGGTCAAGGCCAAGGTCGCTATTGTTCATGAGTGGTGGTGGTGACCTCCTGGGTGTCCTGACTTCCTGTGTGACTGCCCCTGTAGCCTAAAGCGAGACTTATAAGAGCGCAAAGACGCTCCCATCACTGGTGGCCGCTTTGGAGCCATTTGTGGTTCAAAGCTATTCACCAGCACACCTGTGCCAGAGCCAGCGCATGTCCTGAGTATGTGGTCAGAACCTGCTCAGTATCACAGCCACCTGCCCCTTTCCCTCAAACACTGAAGTCACTATGGGCATAGTTAATGCCCATCTTCTGAACTGACACCCAAGGTCCCTCCAAGATGGACTGGTGTCCACGACTTTACCCCCAAATTCCAACCATGCCAGTTGTGGAATCCTTAAACACCCATCATATTTTGAGGTCCCATCAGTAGTCTCTCATCTTTTCTCATTTTATTAGGGTATACATTCATTGCAGAAGGCACAACAGAAGCAGCTGTCCATTGAACAATAAAGGGGTTAAGAATCATTTACACCAACAGAAAGAATGAAACTGCAAATTTATTTGAAAGTATAAAAATTAAAAAAAAACCTAATCAAAAAAGCAACCACACATAACCTTTCCAGTTTACATCAACTTTGAATGTCACATGCTATTTATTAATCACTTCCTTGTGTTTTTTAAAAATGTCAATTTCAAAGTAAAGGGACTGAGTGAGGGCAAGTGATAAGTGATCACAGTGGAACGATTTCAACGCTAAAATAAATGCTGATCTTATTTGAGAAAAGGGAGCAGAGATGGTTTTCTGGTTGGCACAGATTTATGCCAGGTATTAAAAAAAAAAATCCTGGTTGGAATGAGTTAAAGAAATAATGCTGGCCACTTATTTGCTATCTTAAGTAGGGGAAAAAGCAAAACTCTGCTGCTTTGGTGTCCTATTTATATCTTTTTAAAAAAACCCACCATTTTAAAAAATCAAATCTATAATAAAAATGTCCCTGTGTTTATTTTAAAAAACAACATTAATAGGCTCTCCTTATCGACTAAGACCATTTGTCCTTTCTAAGATGCCTGGAAGCTGAAAAGTGCGTGAAATTAATTCACTGCACAATTAATTAAAATTAGAATCCTTTCCTCTAAACAATTTCCAGAGCACCAGAAAGAAGCAGGGGCCCACCAAGGGGAGAAATGAAGACAGTGTGACTCATGTGAGAGGAAATGTTCAGCCAGAGCTTCTCACACGCTCTGGCTGCCACTTAAAGTTCTCTCTGCACTGGACTACTCAGAAAATAACGCATGTTATTTTAAAAACGAAAAGACGTGAGCAACTAGGTTTCTTTTCTTAACTTGAAAATCACCAAGTGGCTAGCTTTCCTGTAGCACACTTTGAATTTGGTTAAAAAAAAAAAATCGTCTACAGAACAGGATCACTGAATGCCACTTCATCCCCCCTCCTGCAGGCTCTGTTTGAATTAGCATCAAAGAAGTTACTGAGCATGTGGGAAGCAGGTCTGCATGACAGCTGCCCCGAGTGGCTCCACCTGGTTCCAGTTTTGTCCCCCGCCCCCCAGTTAGTCAGTGTGGTTTCTTGACAAATAACATCTACATTTCCACCCATGACTTCCTGAGGGAGTGGGCGCTGTGGCTGGCTGGGCACGGAGAAAGGAAAGCGAGCCTGAACACAGAGACCATGAACTGAGGGAGAAAGGCATTGGTCTTTCTGCATCCTTCACGAACTCGATAAATAAAAACTCAAAGTGCAACAATGCACAGACGCCTGGCACACAGGGCCGTCTGGGGGCGGGGGGGCTGGTTATGAGAGCTCAGCGAGAAAAAGGCGTGATCTTGTGCATCTTTGCTTGGACCTCGCTAATGGAAAAACAAACAAAAGACAGCTTTCCTATACACATATAAATAGTCCCTTAACTAGAAGGGAAAAAACAAACACACTGTTTCAAATGCATTTCTAAGAGATTATATATAAAAAAAAGTCCGAATGGCAAATCTTGACTCCAAACTGTCTGTTATCCATGTCTCTCAGAGAAGAAACTATGGGATGTCTGGAGAGGTCTGATTCTCGCTCTGACCCTAATCCTAAACCTTGGTGCCGGTATCTATCTGTCTGGGCCTTGGGAAGTTGGGTGGGTGGCGAGTGCCGCCCAGGAATGTGGAGCTCTCGCAGCAGGTGCTGAATTAGGTTTTCATGTGAATTAGAAACCCACAGTGTCCTCAAGCCCAACTGCACAGGTAGAATGACTTCTGAGTTGTCTGGGGGGACTTGGGAGGCGAGGGTTGAAGCCGCATGAATGGGCAATGCAGGCTGGGCATGGTTTACAGGGACAAAAGGACCAGATCAGATTTCTAGCCAACTCAGGTTTAGTCCTCATCCCTGGGCTAAGGCAGGTCACAGCTGGGAGGGTGACGATCAGAAACCAGGGAAAGGACTGTGGACCAAAGCAGACCCCGGTTCTTGGCAGCCTGTATTTTAGGAGCTGAGAACTCGGATAAACTAGTGGTGGGGGCTCCCTGCTTATTCTGGGATGAGGCTGATGATATATGATGCTGGAAAAAGCTCTCAAAATGAGGATTCTTGGGAAAATTGTTAAATCCAGAATCTCTCCAGAATTGATGGTTTCAGAGTCCTTCAGAAAACCAAAATGACACTTCTGACTACTGAAGGACATTACTCACAGCAACAGTTATCTTTGCCCCATCCTCTGCTGACCCAAGAGCAACGTGCAGCATCGTGCAACATCCAATGACAGCCTCCTGGGAGGATCACCCAACCCAAATCCCCAGGTGGAGCTCTAAGGTCACAGCCCACACAGAATTTGGTCCAGTCTCCTCTGCTCTTCTGAAAATCCCATATGACACAAACACTGCTTTCTCAGTACTTAAGTACCACATTCTCCCGCCACCTGCAAACTTACGCCACCACCTCAGCAAGATTCCAACAGTAACAGAAGAATGACGTGGAGGGTGAGGCTGTGATCACTGGCGTCGAGGGAAGAATAAGTGCCCAGAAAAGATGCACCATACAACAGGTCAACTGAGAGGCCAGAACAAGGTAGGTCGCCCTCCAAAGAACATTCCTGAAATCTGGGCAAGGAGGTGAATGGAGAGACAGCTGACACTCCAAATCACTCCTTGAGGGACCCCGAGGAGCTTCCCGTAAGCGCAAGTTGTTAGGACAGTCAAAGTCAGAGCAGACGAACCCATGGAGACTTTGGAAGAGCCGGAGTTTATACGTCTTCGGTGCCCTGGCTGGGCGCGGAGTCCCTGGGCTCAGCGGTGCCCTCCTGCGGGCCAGGCTGCCCCGGGCTGTGGCCGGGGGCGTCCACGCTCAGGAGGCTGCTGGCTGCCTGGGAGCTGGCGCTGTCGGCACTGCCGGAGCGGGAGCGGTAAGGAGGCAGGTCGGCTTGGTTCAGGGACTCAGTGTCTGAAGAGTAGGGTGGCGGAGGAAGGTCGTACCAGGCGGGTCTGCGATGAAGAGAGCAGGGTGGGGTGAGGAGCAGGGTTGGGGGAAGGGAGAGAGAAAAGAACACATCAGGAGCCCAGGCACGGCAGGCAAAGATGACTTCTGTCTGTTTTTGAGTGGATGATGGTGTCAGGACCGAGATTTTTCCCTCCAAGGAGAAAGGCAATCCTAGTACTAGGGAAACCAGTGATAAGCAATAAGATGAAGGGAAGGGATCAAAGGTCAGCATGCTCCGGCTGTCTTGTGCCAACTGTACAGTGCCAAACACATAACCTTTGGGAGGGGGAATTCTAAGAAGCCCCCGGCTCATCCTGGGTGTTCAGCAGGGATGCAGCTGGCCTGAGGTTTTGATGGAGACCTTAATGATCCACATAATTGGGGGTCCTTGCTGAAAGTCAACTCTTTCTGGTTGTCCGCACTTGGGCATAATAATGACACCTTGCTTGCATTGAGATAACTTCAAAGGCATTTTACTGTCCAGCTATCATTTACAGAAGGCTTATTGTGAGTCAGGCATTGCACCACCCACCTTATATCCTTTATTTTATTTAGCATTCAGAAGAATGCAAGAGGGAGCCATTACTTGTATGCCCATTGTACTGGGGAGGAAACTGAGGCAAAGGGGCCTTAGACAGCTTGCGTGGGGTCACAAAGAGCTAGTAAGCAGCAGTGTTAGGATTTGAACCTAGGAGTTCTGTTTCCAGATGCAGCAGTTTTAACCTTGCTCTACATCTGATGGTCCAAGCACCAAGAGCACAGAATCTTAGTGCTTATTTGCAAATATGTCCTTAAGCACCAGGCCCTGGAGCTCTGTTTATCTTTTATGAGGAGGAAAAATGAAGATTATATAACACAAGAGCTGTCACTGGACGGGCTCAAGGAAGAGTCCAGTTAGCCCAGGAACACTGCCTGCAAAATGCCTCACCAGTGAGTCCCAGGCTTATAGGAGAGGGATCCTGCAGGGTAAGGGATGCTGAGAACTGGGGGCTCAGGTAGCTCTGGTCCTGGGACTTCAAAGTGGGTTCTCTGGGATGTGCTGGAGGTCACCAAAGGACAGAGGAAGGCTGAGCAGGCGGGACTGAGGTCCACTACCTACTCCAACTACAGAATTCTGCGTTTGACTTTGTTTGGTGGGTTTCCTGTGCAGCTCCATCTGCAATGAGGGTCCTAAGCTTGAGAATTCTCCCTTCATCTTGCAGATGATGGCATGCAAAGTTAAGGAACTTATTTATTTACCCTCTCATTCATTCATTCAATTAGAAATCAAACCTCCAACGTGGGCACTGTTCTGCGGTAGCAGGTGGGTCCCCAGAGTTGGGTACATGTGTCCATGTGGCATTAACCAAGGAGGAGTAGGGATCTGAACTGGCTGGGATAGCTGTTTGTCCTCAGATGAATAACTGAAAAACTCAGTTTTCTCATCGGCAAAACTGAGGCAAATATAACCTCGACTGGTGAGTCGCTATGAGGATTAAGCGAGATGATACGTGTGAACTGTTTTGAAAAGACTCAGTACAAGTCAGACACTGCGGCATCTTTGCAGCTGCATGCAGGGATCCCGGGCGCGTGCACACAGACTCTGCCCCTACGTGCGATGACCTCCCTTCCTGGCTGCCCCAGGGTCTGCCGTCCAGCACACACCTTTGGTCCAGCAGGGCCTCTGAGTAGGAGGGCGGGGAGCCCACTTCCGACGCGTTCTGCTCGGCCTGGCTGGCCACATACTGGATGCCGTTGTTGACGTTGTAGGTGACGTTGCAGCGGTGGGGGTGGTCCAGGACCACCAGGCGGGACAGCAGCACGGGGTGCTGCAGCCGGTGCACCGGCAGCGTCATGAGGTTGTTGCGCTTCCGCTGGTGGTGCAGGACCAGCGCCAGCAGGGCCACCACCAGCACGAAGATGACGGAGCTGCCGATGATGGCGTAGGTGATGCTGGGGTAATACACGAGCTGGTTCTCCGAGGTCACAAACACCTGCCCACTGCCTGGTTCTGGGAGACCCCAGAGGGGAGAGAAAAGGAGAGACGTTACCAGGTTGCCTCACTCACGTGCCTTGAAGTCAGCCCCAGGAGGGGCGTGCAATGTTCCAGCAGCACCATTCTCAGTAGCTGAAAAGTAGAAACCGCCCCAGTGTCCACCGACTGGGGTGGACAAGATGTGGGCTGTCCATACAATGCAATATTATCCAGCTATAAAGAGTACTGGCACATGCTACAACATGGATGAGCCTCAAAACATTATGCTAAGTGAAATAAGCCAGACACAAGAGCCGAAAACTGGGAACTGCCCCAATGTCCACCGACGGGTGGAGAGATAAACAAAACGTGGACTGTCCGTACCATGGAGTATTATCAGGCCATAAAGAGTACTGATGCATGCTCTGACACAGATGGGGCCTCAAAACATTACACTAAGCGAAATAAGCCAGACACAAGAGACCACACATTGTATGATTCCATTTATATGAAATGTTCAGGAAACGCAAATTCATAGGGACAAAACGCTGATTAATGGTTGCCTGGGGCATGGGGACTCAATGGTGATAGGTGTTGGGGATCTTGCTGGGGAGATGGGACTGCTATAAAACTGGATGTAGTGATGGCCGCACAAATTGATACATTTACTAAAACTCATTGAATTGTAAAGTTAAAATGGGCAAATTTTATATTATGTAATGCACGCTAAGTCGCTTCAGTCGTGTCCGACTCTTTGTGACCCCTTGGACTGTAGCCCACCAGGCTGCATGGGGATTCTCCAGGCAAGAATACTATAGTGAGTTGTCATTTCTTCTTCCAGGGGATCTTCTCGACCCAGGGATGGAACCCATGTCTCTTATGTCTCCTGCATAGGCAGGTGGATTCTTTACCACTAGTGCTACCTGGGAAGCCATATATAATGTAAATTATACCTCAATAAAGTCATTAAAAAAAATCAGCCCAGGGGAACATAACATCCAGGGAATGGGAGTGATAATTACTATGACAGAAAATAGTTTTTCTCTGGAAGTTTATAATATGTATGAGGCACACCAGCCAGCGTGTCCGGGGTTCCTTATGTTGGTGAAGTACTTATTTGATGCCTGGCCCCTTGCCAAGCTTTCAAGATGAAGAGCCGGCGTTGCAGAGGCTAAAATCACGGACTCCGAAGCCATTCAACCCCCAGCAACTCAACGTACTGGCTGTGCGCCCTTTGGAAAGTGGTAAACCTCTCTGCTGTAATTTGCCCATCTGTGAAATGGGGATGGTGTTAGTC